ACTTAAAATATAAATAAGGCACAATACATTTAATTAATAAAAATTAGCTTACAATCCTAATTACTTTAAACTAAATCATTGCTAATAACAATTTTTTCCCAATAATACCAAATTAATTTACTTCCACCTTACATTCAGAACAATGCATAAAAATAATATCCTCAAATAATTAAAAATACTAACTTACCTAATCTTCTTCAGAATCTTGATACGTGTCCGATAAACTTTTCTTTTTCCTCAGCTAAATAAAAAGCAAGCGTATGTGCGCCTGTTTCAGGATCTTTAAAATCATACTTATAGTTCACAGCAAGGTACCAGGTAAAATAAATAACTTAATAAAAACTTAACTTCTACTTCTATCTCGCACAACCTTAAAGAAACACTTATACTACCCCTTTCAATCCCCACTAAATACCCATTTCGAATTCACTTTAGTTAGGGCCATGGGATCCAAAAATTTAACGAACACTGTTTCACACAACACAGAATAAAGCCAAATACAAATTTTTCCAGACTTTTTTCCCCCGATTTCCCCCCTTTTCCGATTAAAGAACCGTAATTCGTCCATTAATATCACAATGACATATCCCATGATCTCTCTCTCATTTCCCCCTCCACAAAAATAATGCGTAATCGGAACTGAGTACTGCTCACATTATTACCAATGTCCAGGTAGTAACCTTTATCGCCTCCAAAATGTCGCCAAACTACCAGTTACCATATTCTAAAGATCAGCCTAAATTTTTTTCACCTTTTTATGAATTTTTTTTCATGGTATGTTTTAATCTCTTTCATAATAGTATTTTAATATTAATCTCCAATTTGAGTTTTAAAAAATAAAATATTTCGTAAGTCATTATCTTAAAATGTAAAACATAATTAGACCTAGAAAATACAATTCTTTAAAAGTTTCCTTTTTTTGATTCAATCCAGTTCTTCTTATTATTCTTGATTTCATTTCTGTTATTTCAATTTTATACAATTTTATACAATTTTATACTTGGTTTTTGTTACGTATCAGTTGCTCCAACAGCATTCTGCGCTCTTTAAGTAAGCAGGGCCTTAGACTTGATAAGGCCCTAAGTTATTTGAGATATGGGCTGCTTTATAAGTCTATTATACTATATTTTAATGCTATATTATAATTTTTGGGGCCCCCAGGAATGTGGGGATTTACCTCAGGACTTACGTGTAAATATTAGCTGCTTGTGCGTAATATACGTTGGGCAGCTAATTCGTAAATCCTGCACTCCAAATAGGACTTTAACAAAGGGAAGGTTTTCGCAAACCCTCTTGAAGTTTTCCATTAATAGCTTCTTTATAAGTATAAACAATTTTGTATTAGTATTTAAAATAAAATTTCATCGATTATTTAATTATCGTAATGCATTAAATATTGCATTTTTCAGCTATACCATGGTACACTGTCGGTCTACTTATTATTTTACCTGTTATTAGATCTAGAAAATTTTGAAATTTCAATTATAAGGTATTTCTCCACTTCCCTAGCGTGCCTTCGTGGTGTATCGGTAGCACGCTACCCGGTATTCCAGAGGTCCGTGGTTCGATTCCCGGCGAAGGTGGTTGCTAATTTTTCAGCTCTCTGGCTTCCAAAAAATCCTAATGTCTCTACACAGTAACTCGAGCCCACCAGCGGCCGAGCGGTAAAGTCGCTGAACACTGGTAGTTCGGACCGAGGTTCGAATCCCGCGAACGGGCGGGCTGCATGGGCGTTTTCGTGGTTTTCCCCATGTGTAACGTGTATACGAGCCTGTTTCCCTTAGAAAGTCCTCTACGAAAGGCATCCCTCCCCTTAGGCAGATAGCCCTCGTGTGCTTTGCCATAATTAAATACACCACACCTACACAGTAACTCATAAAATCAATAAGTACAGTAAGAAAACACTAAATGATACATAAACTAAAATAAAATCACAAAAACAATTTGAAATTTAAATTAAAATTTTAAAAGAAAGCTAAATTTAAGTCAGAGTTTAAAAGAAAGCTAAATATATTTTATATATACAGAAAAGGAGCAACTATCATAAAATTCAAAATAATACCAACTTCATAAAACTTGCATTAAATGAGAAAATGTATCTATTGATAAATATTTGTTGATATTGCCACAAGTGTCGTTACAAGTCTATCTATTCAGTCACGTGTCCGGATGGAGAGGCCCTTCTGGACAAGTGACCAGGTAAAAATTTATAATTTAATTTTTTTTTTTCTTTTAGTATTCGAACTACGTACGCAGTATTATTTGAATTTTAGAAAGTTCGATGGAGCTATTGAGTTTCAGATGTTTAAGTTATGGAACTGGATTTAAGCCTTTAGCCTATCTTATGTACATATGTATGTAAGATTGTTTAAGGTTTCATTAAAGGACCAAAAATCATACTATACCATGTGCTGTAATTTTTTTTACTGTCGTTAAGTTACGAGTTTGAAAGATTTCATCAGCATCAAAATTTCTCTTTAATACTAACAATAAATTATGAGGATGAAACGTGATACCTTAAAAACACGCAAAGAAATTAATAAACATGAAATAAGACGGAAAAGAAGCTTGACGAGAGTAATGGAGTGACCAGGGTAATGGCAATAATTAAAATTTTATGTTAATACAAATATTTTTAAAAAAGAAAAGAAAAAGAAAACAAAAAAATCGTAGGTTTTTAAAGCCAAGAGCCACATTAAAACAGTAATAACAAATGATTGAAAAGAGTCTTTTATAATAAAAAGGACAAAAATAAAACATTTTATTGCTAGGAACATTTGAAAAAAAATATAGTTAAAGATTTTGTAGTACAACGAATGGTCTGAGAGCTAAAACTTGGTACAGTATTTAGTGACCTGGAGATATCGGAGAAAGCCACTAACTAGATGTAGGAGGAAAAAAAAAAAAAAAAAAAGATTAAAAGGAGAACCAGAACGCTCTTTCTTTTTTTTTTTTTTTTTATTTATATGAGTTACTGTGTACATTAGACGGAAATAGTTTTCTTTGTCTTCGAAATAAGCTCCTCTCAATGGTAGGAAACTGACTAGTTGTAATTTACTCAAAAGCGTTAAAAAGTATAGTTAACCAACATTTAGTTTTTTCTTTAACATTATCATTGCGAGAAATGTTTTTATCTTTAAAGCAATGGCTCGAATATTTCGATACATTCTGTATCTTTTAAGATATTATAGTTTGTTTTTTAACTGAAAGTGTTTCCTATTTCTAAAAGCTTTTACTTTCCTTAATATTTCCTTTTTTATTTTACGTAACTAGAATTTTATAAATTATAATTTTTCAGCGCTATATAATATCTAGTAACGTACTTCTTAAAATACTTATTCAAGATTGGTTTGCTTTTGTAATTTTTGGTTTTTATGTTTTTTTATATTTCGTTAATTTAAGCTTTTTCTTTTCTCTGTTAACTAATGTACTAGCTTCTTTGTGTTGGTTAGTCTCATCTTAGTACTTTTGATTCTTTTTTAATTTAGGAGGCTATGCACCTATGCAACATTAAGTTAAAAATGCTTATTCCCAAGATAAATTTAGTTTATTTCCATATAAATTTTTAAGCTCTCCTTTTGCTACAGTCAGTCATTCTTTACATGGTTAAAGGGTAAATCATTAGTACTGTGAACAGCTTCTCTATTTAGTTGGGATAAAAGGGAAGATATTTAAGTTGCAGAGGCCACTTTGTAGAGTCATTAGGATTTTTTTAGAGACAGAAAAGATGAAAAATTAGCAACGCCTTCGCCGGGAATCGAACCACGGACCTCTGAAATACCGGCCCAGCGTACAGAACCACTACACCACGAAGGACGGTAGGAAAGTGGGAGAAATACCTTATAACTTTATGTTTCTAACAGTTATTTTAAAGTTTAAACATGCTTTACTGTCTATTCTCGTTTCCCATCTACTATTTCCTACCAGATTTGAGTTTTTAGCATCGCATTTTATGCAAATGAGTTAGAAGGAATATTTAAGGAAAGTTCAATTAGAGAGAGTGCTTAAGAATACTTAGTAGCACGTGTTTGCTTTCTGGTTATTTAGTTCTTGAATCTACTGCGTTCGGCCATAGTGTACTTGCTTCTTGATAATCGACGACTACTTTAATATAAGGGCCAACTACGTTAGGTATTTGTGTCTAGCTTTGGCTAGTCTATTTAGTTTGGTATTAGATTGGTTTCATATTTCCTTATCCTGATTTAAAAGCCCAAGTGGAGGCTTTTCTGTAAGCCCGAGAAGGGGCCACCTGTTATTATTTCTTTGGATAAAATAAAAAGGTATTTTAAACCTTCGCAAGACTCTGTCATATATACTTGAACTCAATGATAATTCACTAGGTTCCTCGACATTTTAACATAGATAAAGTACTGGAGTAACATTACAGAGTAAAGGCCCAGGTATGAGCATAATATTAGCAATTACTGGTATTGTATAAATGTGCTGTAAAGCTAGCAATAAGACAAAATATTATCCAAAATAATAAATTGATAAAATATTTGTTCCAGTTTTACATAATATTCCAATTAAAAGACATTATTATGGAAGATAAGTAACTGAAAAAAATCGGTTAGTTATCTTATGTATCCTGCAATTCTGGACTATAGCCGTCATGAAGGAAACGCCTTTCATTGCTGTTCCCTTTAGAAAACTTTCAGCAAAATCAGGCATTCTTGCAAAAGTTTTATAGCAGTTTCTTTCATTGGTTGCAAATTCCATAAGCTCATATTTTAAAATTATGTTTAAGGCAAAAATCACGTAATTTGTTTATAATAACTGTTAGAAAAAACAAAATAATGCATACGAAAATAGCGACATTGCTTGAATGAAGGATTGTTACAAGCATGGTTGCCGGAAGAAGGATTAGCGCATGGTTGCCAAAATTTGGCGCATTTTAAAAATTTGGCGATTTCTACTAAGGAGGCTGCGTTAATACATAAGTACCTAATAACTAACTTGTATTAAACATGAAACAATTAAAGTTTCAAAAAATGAGTAACCTTCTTCCTCTGTTGTAATTGTTACGACTTCTCCAAATGGACTTCTTCCTAAGGCATTTTCAGCTTGAAGTTTGAAATGGTAAGTCGTCATTGGCTGCAACCCTGTTATTTGTACAGTAGTGTTAGATCCTGGTATATCCATTTTTCTTGCCTCTGCTGACCACGTTGCTCCTGTAATTCATTCAGTGATTACTTTTATATCATCTTGTATTTACTTTTATTTAATGCAAAATTATAATGAACAAAATTTCATAAAATTTCTCCACATTAAACACCATCCCGATCGCTAATCACCATTAAAGATTGTTACAGGCATATTTAAAAAAAAAAAAAAAAAAAAATTTTTAGTAAACTAGTTCGAAATCGAGATTCTTAGCTAAAATGAAATACGACGCTAATATAAGAACACGATGCGAGATAACGCGGCCTATTAGCAGTTTCATTTCGGGGGCCGCTATAATAAGGAAGTAGCAATTTCTTAAAATAACTACAGAATTCTGTGACAGGAATATTTTAAAAGCTTCAAAAGTATATTTATTTAAGGATAATTTAACATGAAGGATAGATTTAAAATATACATTCTCCATAATTAAATGACTAGTCAATCAATTTCACGTAATTTAGAAGGTTTTACTTTTACGAAATACCGGAATTTCCAACCCTTACTTACATTTTCTCAAATGAAAAATCTAAATTAGAAAACTTATCTCGTATCAGTTTGAAACATTTGTGAAAAATAAAGCTCTTATTTGTTCTCCATTTGCAACAGTAATTTCGAACCTTTCGAGTCCCATTTTGAACATTTTGCGGTTAACAAGAATTGAAATGTTGATAATGTAATTGACAAGAGCTCTTACCGGATGCAGACTTCCAATGTAGAATGTATTTTGTAATTGGACTGTTGCCAGTGTAAGGTACGCTCCAACTTAATACTACTCCACGACTATTGACATCTGTAGCCAGAATTTCAGAAGGAGGATCAGGTACTTCTGTAAGAAAAATAAATCGAACATTGAGCTACAAAAGCATAGGAAAGCTTAAACGCATGACTTTTCTGTTCTGGAACGAGCGAACATATATTACGAAATATTAAGAGATACTCTTCCCTTCTTCTAACAGAGTAGAAACATTCATCCAGTAAATGAGATATACTCCTCAGGCGCAGAGGAAGAAGAGGGGTGAGTTTGTTTTTATTAGCTATGCATAAGTGACGTGATCTGGGAGGTCATCTGCTTTGTTTGTTTACATTAGCTTGTTTGTTTACATTAGACGCGTGATTTCCGATGTCATCAGAATATATATCATTAGCGTTTAGCAATCATTTATATACTGCTAGAGGCAAAATAGGATTGAAGAAATTGCATGAATTCGCAAACATGTGACAATAATTTCTAAATTGCTAGAAGATAAATAAGATGCAAGAAATAGCATGAATTTACAAGTATTAACAAACACGTGACAATCATCTGTAAACTGATAGAGGAAAAATAAGATCCAAGAAATAGCATAAATTCACAAATATCCAAACACATAACTTAATTTTCGAAATCAATTGTTAGAAACAAATTTCATATTTAAATTAAATAAAGCATAAAAACACGAACAACTTAATTTTATTTAATATGTCAAATTATACATATCTGCCCGTCTGCTGTTAAATGAAAAATCTGACTTTACGACTAAGGATTTGTTATACATATTTTTTACACATAACTTCACATGTGAGATGCGTAGTTTAAATTAGGTAATACTATTAGCCCGTCTCGTATTTATTTTTGGCACGTTCTGTGAATTTTTTTTCGGTAAGTTGATGTTTTTGCCAATTGTCGCTGATTGCTCATTTAATAGTTTTCTCCAGGAATTTTTCTAAGAAACGGCAATTTGAATTTGTTCTCAATTTGTTGAAATTCTGCATGTCTTAAATTTTCAATGAGAAAGAGAAAGACTAGAATAATACAGAAAAATCAATGGGTTCAATACACTTAAAACAACTGAATTTTATACTATCTTACATTTAAGTAAACAAATAGGAGTTTTTTTTTGAGGGGTTGTGAATAACATTAAGAAACCATTGTTTCATTAAATCTGTATTAAAGCAGAAGAGGATATAGAAACAATTTGCTTTTAAAATCAGATGTATTTTATAACCAAACCTTTAATACATGTAAGCAAAAATAAATGAGGCAAGCGAAGACTATTGAGGGATCACAAGGACTGATAAAAAGTAACTTTTACTTGGAACATGTATTTTTTCTATCCCATTGCTAATAGGAGATGTATGATATCTGAAGCAAAAGGCATTTGGTAAAGAATGCACAATACTTTCAAAGGAATTTCCAGTCTCTTTCATGCTCACCGTAAAAGATCTAGTTATTTTTCTTTTGGAATGAAGATATGTTTTCTCGTCTTCTTATGTATTTATTATATATGAAGGAATAAACACCAAATTCTGCCACGAATTTCTATAAATTTAGTTTTTGTTGTTCACTGATGCTCACTTGTCCTACCTACAGCCAGCCCATGCCCATGAAATTCCTCGTGGACAGAAGCGCAAGATTACCCTGTGTTGGCAACAGCCTTGAGAACCTTACAATTGGCACTGCGATTTAGCTCAGTCTTCCCCTCCAGTTTTGATGGACAGCATCACGGGAAGGGGCGGGTCCGAAGGTCTCTTATACTCTTATTCCTCTACCATAAACCTCTCGAGAGGACTTTTGGCTCGTCGCACACTTGGAGTGCCCCCATGCCGTACGGACACTATACATTTACAAATATCCATGCCTTCTCCGGGAATAGTGTAAAATTTGACCGTAAGAGTGGACATTCGAAAGAATATCTTTAAGAACTTCTTTCGAAATATATAAATGAGCTTTGCCTGATTTGAAGATTATATGCAAATGCTTTGATGAAAAACCAGCTAAATATTTATAATTTCATGGACCTCACTTTTGTATTACACATATATAAGAATGCTTTTTTAAAATGTTCTTCGTGAAGGTATAAGTCCCCTTAGGCAGATTGTAGAGTAATTGGGATTGTTTTGGAAGCCAGAGAGATGAAAAATTAACAACCGCCTTCGCCGGGAATCGAACCACGGACCTCTAGAATACCGGCCCAGCGTGCTACCGTTACACTACGAAGGCACGCTAGGGAAGTGGGAGAAATACCTTATAAGATAAAACTCAAGAAATTTTTATTAGTCAATAAACTCACATCAATCAGCCCTTGTATTTAAAAAAAAAAAAAAAAAACTGTTTTCAAAATTTATTAATCCCCGTTTAGTTGCTGAATTCCCAGATCATATTTTATATTTCAGTCTTTATTGAGGATTAAGTAACTTAAAAACATATAAAATAATCTCAAATCAGATGCAACCGGTAATATGATCTTCATGTACATTTTTATTATAATTATTAATACAACATTAAATGTATTAGCAATTAAGCTCACACATTTATTGCATCTTATTTCAGTTTTCTTCGAATTTTTCAGGATTAAACAGTTTTCTCAGAATAATGCACTTCAGGTACCTTCTACCTTCTTTAATCCATTTAAGTACCGTTCGAAAACAGTCCACAGAGAGATCTATCGCTTTTTTAAGCTAATAAGGAAGCGCCAAGCAAACTTAATGAATTAACGTTCGTAAGACTATTCGATTACCTTTACCTCCAGACTCTAAATTTATTTCGAAAGCCTAGCTAGACTAAATTGTTCCAGCTTTAGATTAATGGTAGTTTCAGCACATATTGCCATTGTTCGAAATTCGCAGCAAATGAACCTAACTTCCTTTGAAAATAAATTTTGAACTTTACTGTATTAGCTTTAAATGCTTAGAAGAAGGATATTGAGATTTTTCTTTGATACGTCTTCCTTTGAATTATCTTGCTGTGCAGAAATATCTTAAGAAATGACGAAGTGGGGTTTCCTATATATCTTAAAATAATTGCAGTTTTAAAACATATGTATTGTGTATTTCGGAAGTATTCTCTTGAATGAAACGGCCTACCAGTGGCCGAGCGGTCAAATCGCTGAACACTGGTATTTCTGACCTGGGATCGATTTCAGGGCTGGTTGCATGAGCATTTTTGTAGTTTTCCCCATACGTAACGTGTATTACGAGTCAGTTTCTCTTAGAAAGTCCTCCACAAAGGCATCCCTCCCCTTGTGTGCTTTGCCATAATCAACTAAACGAAACCAAACCACTTGAACGCAAAATGTTATTGAAAGTATTTTATATGTTACGCTTCCAGTTAACCCTTATCTTCAGCACGATCAGCATTATATTCAGCATGATAAAAAGCATATGTAACTAAAACCAAATATTCAGGTATTATTTAAATTGCAGGTCGATAGAAAAACTGTACAAAGTACCAAATAATAATTTCAGTGTGCAAAAGATGATTAAATAAAATAGTGTAGCGAATCTTAAAACCGACATATTCGGAAAACATACAGTAGCATTTCTTCGGTGATGTCTTCGGTCGATAAAATTTCACGTATATCTTAAGAAATTTTGAATAAAAAACTGTAAATTTTGCAGGTATGCTTAGAAATACATGTACTTTAAGATGATGGCAAAAAGTTTATGGGTTATAATTCAAAATGTTTTCGAAACATTTATAAAAATTATTTAAAAATAAATCATAAGAAATGGTCGAATTGTATTTGGAATGAACCTAAATTTCGAAATATGAAAGAAACAATCAAATAAGTTTAATAAAAAAAGAGATATTGATAAATATATATTCAATCCAATGAACATGGAAGAGCTAAAGGTTTGAGAGCTAATTTTCGATTTTTACAAAACGTGGCAGTTTGGCATAATTTGAGTCGTAGAATCGAAATATGGAAAAACATTGGCATGTCATTTCAGAAAAGTCCGATTTTGTGTCTAAATACCTATATTAGAACAATGCTATATATAAATCTATTACATATCCTAAGTCACGATTTCAAGACATGAAAAATGTAAGTTGATTTTCGTCAATCGGCCCAGTATAACGAAAGATATAGAACTGTCCTCTTTTTTTTGGGGGGGGGCGCAGTATATCTCTTGATAAAATGATTCTAGAGTTAGAGAGGATAGGGATGTGAAAGATCAGCTGTTTCAGATATATTAAACCTCACAGAAAATTCTATTCTTGTCAAATATATTACTCGTTTGTAAGGCCAGGGATTTTATTTTTCTACACTTGCCAAAACACATTAATGATAAATTCATCGTAAGCGTAATTTTAAGGGTAAGGATACTTTGGAAAGATACAGCTAAAGATAGTTCGTATGTCAAATACTTGAAGGAAGAAATTTTTCGAGTGATGCATCAGACAGGCAGACTATTTCCACTCTTTTACTTAGGAAATACAACATAACAGTAAATTTGAAAATATACAAAAACTCTGACAGAGAAAAAGTAAGCCCGTGCATGATTCACCTGTAATTGAAGCAAAGATGAGAAAGGCTAATAGTAATGCTCCAAAGTTTTAAATTGGTGTCAGTGCTGCTCAAATCATGCGTCTCAAATACATGTGTTTACGTGCTTACATACTAAACACGCGCCGAGTGTGCTACCGTTAACCACGAAGGTATGCAGAAAGGAGGGAGAAAATACCTTATGAAATAATCTCACTACTTATTCACTGGAAACATTTTTTAGCATCTGTACCATATCGACACATATCAGTATCCATATCTCTGTAACATATTGGACTATCTGGCGGTAAAATTAGCTATTAATAATTTCTTTTGTCGTCTGATGTTGACTCAGTGCACATTTGTCGCGGAAATGAAGCTGAAGCAGTCTTTTAAATTAATTGAATGAGAGCCATAAATCAAGATTTTTGACAAGGTATACGAGAACTGTTTTAGAAAATCTCTTCCTTAAGGAGTTCGTTCAGAAATTCACACGAAAGGGAACCCTCAGATATCCACATGCAACTAATTCAGTCATTTTCATTCAGAAATCGCTTTAAGAATTAATTAACTTTCTACC